AGCTACATTAAAACACATCTCCATACAGTGTCTTTAGACACTCCAAATCGATCTGCAATGGATCTGAAATAAGAAAACATTTTCAATGCAATAACAAAAACAAAATAAATTAAAATTAAAAAAAATATTAATTCCAATAATAATATCTAAAGAAATGCACAGTATGATTGTCCGTGCCAAAAAAAGTAACTTTTCTCTGGCAAAATTGCATCCAAATACTACTTTTTAAATGAAAGCTATTTTAAACTAATAAATGAGTACTCTACATTACACATACATCAGGGACGGCGTACACAACGTGTACGTTATTATATCTAAATATTGCTATTTATTTTTTTTATTATTTTTATTTACGCTTTTTTCATGCGTAAATACTTAGAACTTATTCGTTAGCTTAGAGCTGCTTTCATTTCAAAAGTGTTCGGTGTAATTTTGCCAGAGAAAAAAGTTGCTTAGATAATGGTCATTTCAACAATATGTGATTAATTAAATAATTGTGTCATTTATGATAAATGTTGCCATTTTAACAATATATTACTTTCAACGTAGACTTAAGTTTAAACTAATTTTAAGTGAACGATTTTCAAGTTTTAATTTTTTTATTTATTCTTATATAATTTTATATAATCCAAAGTTTGAGGATCAAAAATAAATTTAGATATTTTAGATAGAAAATAGTTTTTTTTAAATTAGTAATATTTACATTTTTTTAAACATATAAATCTTAATATTAAAGATAATATTAAAATAACTAGAAAAATAAATAAGAGGATTTATATATATTATATTTTTGTTGTTATATAATAAAACAGAAAAATCGAATGTTTTTATTACAAACCTATAAACTTCTTGATTGCCAAAAAACCATACGGCAATGGCAAGTTGCTTTGATGGTGATAATTTAGGACACTTTTTCAATATAGGATTATTTTCCAATAAAGCTGCTCCAAAAGTTTGTATTAAGTACTCAAAAGTATTTCTATTAATACGAAAATGTGACTTAAAATCTATAATAAAATAATGTAAAAATACTATTATAAATGATATAATAAAAAATAAATAATACGTAAGTATAGTTTTATTATTACCTGTTAAAGAATAAACGAGAGCAACATTTTCAAAGAAATTATTGATTTTAAGATGTCGTTCTCTTCTGTGTGCTATTTCCCAATCATTATTATTTTCTTCATCATTATTAAAAAAAATGTTCCAGAATAAAAATATATCCATTTCTTATCTATAAAAATATATTAATAAATTATTTTTATACATTAATATAAATAATTACAAATTATATTCTTACACCCACATATTCTTATTAAACAGAAATCAATAATCAAAATGGTGAAGTTTTATTGTAATTCTTAATATATACAAATTTATCTTTTTACTTTCAGGATTATTTTTCTAAATTAAAAATGTTTGCAAAGATGTAAATAAATATTGTCTAAAATTTAATACTATACAGGGTGTCTGGCAATAATCGCCCCACCAGTCATATACAGGTAGAGGAGGTCAAATCGAATAGAAAAGTCCTTTACCATTTTTTAATTTTCATAATAAGTACTGAGTAATTAACGAAAAAAGATCGGCGAATCCGCGCGAGTAAAGCGCGCGCGGTGAGAAGGACGTCCCACTGCTACGCAATCACTAGGACACAAGGATCTAGCGTTACGCGCCGCTCGTATGTTGCCATTGTCATTTGTAGAGCGCTCCTCCCAACGCTTCATCGCGCGCCTAGTGATCGCATAGCAGTGGGATGTCCTTCTCGCT